TATGAAAAAAATAAAATCTATTGATATATTTAAAAGAGCTATAAAAAAACACTTACTAAATTTAAACAATACGTACATTCTTTCATTTTTTAATTAAAAAAAAAATAGTATATATATATATATATATGTATATATATATATATATATATACATGTATGTATGTGTGTGTGTGTATGTATGTATGTATATGTGTGTATGTGTATGTATGTATACGTATATGTGTGTATGTGTATGTATATGTGTGTATGTGTGTATGTGTATATGTGTATGTGTATATGTATGTGTGTATGTGTATATATATACATGTATCCTTCTTATATATATTCTTCTTGTTTCTTTTTGTTTGTCTGTTTTAATTTTAATTTTGTTTAAAAAAAAAATATGAGTAGATGAACTTAAATCTATAAAATGTTCAGAATCTTTTTTTAATTCAAAATATCTTTTGTATATTTAAATATATATTATGAAGTTTATTGGATATGTATACGCAAATGTACGGATTTGTAAATTATTTTTTCAAAATTTTTTCTTTTTTATTATTTTCAAACTTTTTAGTTTTGTCAAACTTAAAAATTATTTTTTCAACTTTTTGATTTTTTCAAACTTTTTAATTTGTTTTTTTTGAAACTTTTTTTAATTTCACTCTTTTATATATTATTGGAAATTGTAAAGTTTTTTTTTATTTTTTATTTTTTTTTATTTTCACGAAGGGGCTTGATGATAAGACATTTTGTCTTCTACTTGCCCCAGTCAGCTTGCATATGAATAAATTTATTTGAATGTAAGGTTAACATTGTAAAATGTGTCAAATGACGAAAAAAAAAAAAAAAAAAAAAAAAAGAATTAAAAAATAGATAAGGAAATGGTAGTTTTAGGTAGTTTTTTTTTTTTTTTAGTTATTTTTTCAAACTACATAAAACTACCATTTAAAAACTACCTAAAACTACCATAATTTTCAAACTACCTAAATTTCATTTAGGTAGTTTGAAAATATTTAAACTTAATTCTTTCACCATTAGGCAGTCTATAACAGGTGAAATCTAGAACATTTTTTAAATTTCTTATTGGTTACCTCAATTGTAAAAACTTTGCTACCGGCATTGGATTGAGAGGTCCTTTCTTACTTTAATCGATTGATTATTTTGCATGTATATTGCAATCCCTTCTCAACTTTTGTTTACTTTTCTTTCAGAAGATAATAGATTACAATTTAGAATTTAAAAATTTGAGTTTGTTTGGTGTGTTTTGTCTGGACACCACGTTTCTGTAAGGCAAATTATACTAAAAAAATAATTGCTGTCAACTAGAAAGTGTTTTAGCTTGTCGATATTTTTATTTATACTTCTTATATTTATATGTATCGTAGTAAAATTATTTTTTAAAGTTTCAAGTTCATTTTTAAAAGATTTAATTTGAAAAGATTTCGAATCAAAATTAATTCCATTTAAAATTTGCACATCGGCGACGTAAAAATCGTCGAGTGATACGTCATCAGTTTCAAAGACTGAAACGTTACAAAATCTTTTGTTTCTTTAGTCATTAAGTTAAGAGCGTGAAAATATAAAAACCTGTTTTGCTTTTTTATAAAAAAATATATATGCAGTGCTATTTAGGGGTTGTCCATAAATTACGTCACACAATTTTTGACCGTTTTCGACCCCCCCCCCCTCGTCACAAAATCGTAACACTTAAGAAGCGAGTTTTGAATGAGTCGTCACAAAACCACCAATCCCCCCCCCCCCCCGTTATAGCGTGACGTAATTTATGGACAACCCCTTATGTTAAAATCTCGACTAAATATTTTATCATATTTGAAAATGGCGTATTTACCATCGCTTTTATTTTTTTTTATTTTATTTATTTATTTATTTCGTCATTAAATGAATAATCTTTTACAATGTTTTTTTACAACATAAAAATTATAACATTAAAGTTTCGACCGGAGCTGGCAGAAGATATGATCTTATCATCCAGCCCCGTTAATATAACTAAAAAATTCAGCCGATAAAAATGAAAAAGGAAAAAAGAAACTAAAGCAAGAACTGATTTTAAGAAGAAAAGAACTTAAAAATCAAATTATTATTTACAGAAAGAGAAAAAAATAAAAAATAAAAAAATATTAATTATTTCTTCTCATTATTATTATTATTTTTTTAATTCTCTATTTTATTCGACTTTTATTTTTATTATACACGCACGCTCACACACATACGCACACATACACACACACATACACACACACATACGCACACGTACACACAAATATATGTCCGTTCATATATACATACAAATCAAATAAATCTGTATTACATTCCATCTACAAATTGCGTAAGATATAATAAATATTGCATTTACAAATTACGTATTGTAAAATAAAATAATATCATACATGTTCTAAGTACCATACAATATAATTGTGATGTTGAGTCAATTTATAAGACATTAAATAACTAAGATTACTAAAAGTTTTTAATAATACGATAGTAATTGCTTTGTGTCAAAACCAAATAAGTGTTGTTTTGTTGCACGTTTAAAATGTTGAGTTGAATTTAAAGTTTTTATATTGTTTGTTAAAAGCAAGTTCCATAACCACGGCCCTCGACAAGATATCGAAAAATCAGCTTGTTTTGATAATGTTTTTGGTATAATAAAATTATTTGTTGAGTATTTAGTTTCGTATTTGTGGTTTAAAGAAAAAAAATAAGTTTGGAAAATGCTTGGTAGCATACCATTTTTAAACTTAAACATGTAATAATAATAACTTAAATAAGTATATTAAGAATATTTATTTCATAGACATTAGGCACTCCAATTTCTCTTAGTAGTGGTTTGGCACTAGCGTATTTATTTGCATTTAATATCAAGCGAATTGCTCGTTTTTGTATTTTGTAGATCATATTTAATTTTGAAGGATAAGTACCCAGCGGGCACAGACGTAAATCAAACGTTCTACGGACGTCTAAACTAGGTCGCAACGTCTCAGACCAAATTAGGACGTCCTAAAGACGTCTGATAAAGACGTCTTTTTTAGGACGTCCTTGTGACGTTAATATAAAGACGATATTAGGATTTTCATATTTAGACGTCCTGTTGACGTTGCTGAGACCTACATTAGACGTCCTAATTACCATAAAAAAATTAATATTATCAACTTGGCGCATACAATATTATGCGCTAACTCAGTTAATTAAAAATGTCTACTTGTTTTGGTTGATTATTTTGAGATTATTAATTTTGTTTCGTTATTTATCGCTTAAAGATATTTTTTAATTTTCTATATTCTATACTCTATGATCTATAAACTATAATCTATACAATATTTAAATACAAGAAAATTAAGTTTAGTTATTAAGTGTAACTAAGTTACAAGTATGAGGGAATTTTAACAAAAGACATCAAAATTGCACCAAGACATTTCACTTTGTGTTTTATAGAATAGTAATGATATTTTGTGTGTCTGTGTAATATATAATTTATATATATATATATATATATATATATATATATATATATATATATATATATATATATATATATGTATACATATATATATATACATATATATATATATATATGTATATATATATATATATATATATATATATATATATATATATATATATATATATATATATATATATATATATATATATATATATATAAATATATACATATATC